GCCGCCTGGTCCCCACGCTGATGGCAGGAAGAGGCGCTGCGGAAGGCTTCCTCTGTTGCAAGTGAGTGAATGATCATAAGAAACCAGGAGAGACCAAAGGGAAGGTTGAATCTTAAAATGTCTTCTTTAAGTGTGTAGCCGACATCTGGGGAGAAAAATCCCAGCCTTGAGAATCATTCCAGAAAGATCAGTAAGATCACAAATGAGCTTTGTCTTCGGGTTTCTGGGATATGATCCAGGATCAGCAGATCTACAGATGAAGAGACGTTAACCCCAAATCCGTCTGTATAGAGGGGGATAACTACATACATGTGTGGAATACTTTCAAACACTGGTGTCTCCATACTTTTGCCAGTCATCATAAAAGTCATTTACTTGGTGAATTTGTGAATTTCATGGTTTTTTCCCCCCAATGTTGTAATAGTTTCTCATCCTGTACCGTTAAAGCTGTAAGAAGAGTCATAGTTTACACTGTCTTCCCAATCACCCATATGCATGTAGTTCATGGCTTATATTTTTTCTGCCAGTTCTAAAGCTTTCCAGTATATAGACCTGACCACAGTTGAACATTTTGCAGATGTGTTTATTTTCTTTGAGTCTCCGAGGCTTCTTGCAGCAAGTCTGCCTGTGTGTCTGTGTGAGCTGTTTACGCCCTGCAGCTGCTTGAAACTCTGATCCAGCCTCTTCCTGAACGTGTCACTGTCTCTGTGGCCAGATCTTCTCTCCCACCAGCCAAGTCAGTCTTCCTAAATTCCTGTGCTCTGTCCCACTGCCACTGCTGCTTGTGCCAGCTCTCAACAAGACAAAGAATAGGATTGGGAGAGGAGAGAACAGGCAGGGGGTTAAGTACCATCAGTCGTGTTCCATCCACCTTTCCCATAATAAATTCAGAAAGAAGCACTCTGGTGTTATACATCTGTCTCTTACGAGTTAGCATAGTATGTGTTCTTTTACCCTATCTACTCACTTTACATAAAAAGCCTCCTTTCTAGGGTAACTGGATTCAGGGATTCTTTGTAGACGAAAGATCTCTTTGTTTCTTTCTCTTCTTATAGCATAGAGTACTTGCCAAATTCAGACTCTCGGGGGAGTGGAAAACTCCAATTGGGCTTACAGTCCCAAGCTGAGTTCTCCATTCCAGTCTAATCAAAAAGGTCTGAATTAGGCCACTGAACCAAGTACTGGCCCAGCCACAGAATGGATTTTTATGTCCAGTTGGTTAGTGTCCCTCATGGATACAGGGTCCTGAGGTAGGACTCAAGTTATATAGGGGAGTATTAGAAATTGAACCCTTAAACCCCAGCTCCTCGTGCAGACAAACACATCCAACTCCAAGTTAAATAGAATCTGAACCAATAAAAAACATTTTACCCTGAGGATAGAAACATGCAAAGTGAATCAAAACAAAGAAAACCTGTTTGCCTTGTCTTAAACATCCAGAACTATTTACCTTTCTCATTATTAATAAAATCTCTTTATAAATATTTCCCCAGGAGGCAGCTTCTGGGGACTTATAAATATTTTTCCATTAAAGGAGATGAGACATTGCCTTCTTTTTTGATATCACCATTCTGACTCCTGATGGAGAAACTGATGCCCATGAGGCATACCTGTCCCCAACAGGTAAATTCAGGAGTAAGGATTCTGCCCTCATTTCCTCTCAATTGCTACTACGTTCTTTTTTTTTATTTTTTAGGCGGAGTCTCACTCTGTTGCCCAGGCTGGGGTGCAGTGGTGCAATCTCGGCTCACTGCAACCTCCACCTCCTGGGTTCAAGTGATTCTTCAGCCTCAGCCTCCCAAATAGCTGGGATTACAGGCACCCACCACCACACTTGGCTAATTTTTGTATTTTTAGTAAAGATGGGGTTTCACCATGTTGGCCTGGCTAGTCTTGAACTCCTGACCTCAGGTGATCCGCCCGCCACAGCCTCCCAAAGTGCTAGGATTACAGGTGTGAGTCACCATGCCCAGCTGATTGCTACTACATTCTAATGGTTGCTCTTGGAAATTCATGATGTACAGTGGATACTGAAAATTAAAGTTAAAAGATCTTTTAACATAAAGCAATACTGGAACAGGTGAAATACATCTTGGAAATGCTAATTGTAGGCAATGGAAAGTCATTGAAGGTTTTGGAGCAGAAGAAATTCATGATCCAAGTAATGGGGATAGTAATGTGTATCGTGATTCTGAGGGGAAACTTAGAAACAGGAATAAATCAGAATTAAGGTTGTTTGAGTCAGAAAGGAGAAAAAATTCTTTACTAGACAAAGTGAGATGAACAACATATTGATAGGCTATGAGGGAGATTATCTGCCATATTGGGATAAGATGAAGACAGGAAAAATATTTTTACTGGAAAGAGTTTGGTGAAAACTAAAGTAACTCCACATGTAATGCATTTAAGTGTTTATGAGAGACCCCAGTGTAGATAACCAGCAAATTACTGGAAATACAGAGTCAGAGGTTGGGAAAATACTAGGTTTGGATTTGAGATCATGTATTTAGAGGTGATTTTTGAAGAGGGTGTGGAGAGAAAGAACAAATGGAGAACTTAGACAAACATATTGATTCTCTTTATATTATAAAAGGAATGCTGTTGTATTGGATGCCATAGCATCTCCCACGTCCAAATCCACCACCCTTCTTTGCCCTGTTTTGTGGGACTATAGCTGGACCCTGTGAACATTACTCCTCCAACTGCTGGAATGTTAGGCTTCACCAACAGAGGGCGCTGGAGTGACCCTATCAGGCCACAGCAGCAGAAAGACTCTTCCACTTTGCAGTCTGTTCAGCGTGGGTCCTGACATGGTTTGGCTGTGTCCCCAGCCAAATATCACCTTAAATTGTAATAATCCCCATGTGTCAGGGGCAGGGCCAGGTGGAGATAATTAAATCACAGGAGCAGTTTCTCCCATACTGTTCTTGTGGTAGCGAATAAGTCTCACAAGATCTGATGGTTTTATAAATAGGTGATCACCTGCACAACCTCTCTTACCTGCTGCCATGTTAAGGTATGACTTTCCCCCTCATTCACCTTCCACCGTGACAGTGGGCCTCCCCAGCCATGTGGAACTGTGAGTTACTGAAACTTCTTTATAAATTACTCAGTCTCGGGTATGTCTTTATTAGCAGGGTGAGAACAAGCTAATACAGTAAATTGGTATGGTAGAGTAGGGTGCTGTTGTAAAGATACCCAAAAATGTGGAAGTGATTTTGGAACTGGGTAACAGGCAGAAGATGGAACAGTTTTGAGGACTCAGAAGAAGAGAGAAAAATGTGGGAAAGTTTGGAACTTCCTAGAGACTTGATGAATGGCTTTGACCAAAATGCTGATAGTGATGTGGACAATAAAATCCAGGCTGAAGTGGTCTCAGATGAAGATGAGGAACTTGTTGGGAACTGGAGTAAAGGTCACTCTTGCTATGCAAGGAGACTGGCGGCACTTTGCCCCATCCTAGAGATTTATGGAACTTTGAACTTAAGAGAGATGATTTAGGGTATCTGGTGAAAGAAATTTCTAAATGGCAAAGCATTCAAGAGGTGACAGATCATAAAAGTTTAGAAAATGTGCAGCTTCACAATGCAGTAGAAAAGAAAAACCCATTTTCTGGGGAGAAATTGAAGGTGGCAGCAGAAATTTGCATAAGTAACGAGGAACCAAATGCTAATCACCAAGACAATGGGGAAAACTTCTTCAGGGCATGCCAGACACCTTTGCAGCAGTCCCTCCCATCACAGGCCTGGAGCCCTAGGAAGGAAAAATGGTTGCCTGGGCCAGGCCCAGGGACCCCCTTTTCTATGTGGCCTCTGAACCTGGTGCCCTGCATTCCAGCTGTTTTAGTTCCAGCTGTGGCTAAAAGTGGCCAACCTACAGCTCAGGCCGTTGCTTCTGAGGGTGCAAGCCCCCAGCCTTGGTGGCTTACACATGATGTTGGGCTTGTGGGTACACAGAAGTTAATAATTGAGGTTTGGGAACCTCTGCCTAGATTTCAGAGGCTGTATGGAAATACCTGGACGTCCTTGCAGACATTTGCTGCAGGGGTGGGGCCCTCATAAAGAACCTCTGCTAGGGCAGTGTGGAAGGGAAATATGGGATAGGAGCCCTCACACAGAGTCCCTACTGGGGCACTTCCTAATGGATCTATGAGAAGAGGGTCACCATCCTCCAGACCCCAGAGTGGTAGATCCACTGACAGCTTGCACCATGTGCCTGGAAAAGTCACAGACACTCAACACCAGCCCATGAAAGCAGCCAGGAAGGGTGCTCTACCCTGCAAAGCCACAGAGGCAGTGCTTCCCAAGGCCACAGGAACCCACCTCTTTCATTAGCATGACCTGAATGTAAGACATGGAGTCAAAGGAGATCATTTTGGAACTTTAAGGTTTAATGACTGCCCTACAGATTTCAGACTTACATGGGGCCTGTAGCCCCTTTGTTTTGGCCAGTTTCTCCCATTTGGAATGGGTGTATTTACCCAATGCCTATAACCCCATTGTATCTAGGAAGTAACTAACTTGCTTTTGATTGTACAGGCTTATAGGCAGAAGGTACTTGCCTTGTCTCAGATGAGACTTTCGACTGTGGACTTTTGAGTTAATGGGAAATGAGTTAAGACTTTGGGGGCCTGTTGGGAAGGCATGGTTGGTTTCAAAATGTGAGAGCATGAGATTTGGGAGGGACCAGGGGCAGAATGATGTGGTTTGCTGTGTCCCTACCCAAATCTCACCTTGAATTGTAATAATCCCCACATGCCAAGGACAGGGCCAAGTGGAGATAATTGAATCATGGGGGCAGTTTCCCCTGTACTGTTCTTGTGGTAGTAAGTTAAGTCTCACAAGATCTGATGGTTTTATAAATAGGTGATCCCCTGCACAAGCTCTCTTGCCTACCACCATGTAAGATGTGACTTTGCTTCTCTTCGACTTCCGCCGTGATTATGAGGCCTCTCCAGCCACGTGGAACTGTGAGTCAATTAAACCTCTTTATAAATTACCCAGTCTTGAGTATGTCTTTATTAGCAGCATGAAAACAGACTAATACAGGAGCCCAGCACCTTTGCAGAGGGACTCTATCCGGCCATGCTCTCCACCAGTGGCCGCTTTTGAGCCACTCCCACCTGCCCACAACCTCTGTCAATGGCAGCTGCTTCTAAAGACCAGCACCAGCCTGTGTCCTCTGCCAAGTTTCTTGCGTATGTCAGGCTGTATGTTCCTGCTGTAGCCATACTCTCTTCAGTGAGGTCTGAATCTCAGCCTTGGTGTTGGGTGGGGCTCTCCTGGTCTTTTGTTCCTTTATTATCCTCTTTCTTTGTCCTGCAATACGTAGCTGCTCCTTTGTACCTGCTCTTTGACCTCTTACAGTCCTATTTTATTTTTTAGGTAATTAACCACTTTCTTTAATTAGCAATACATTAAATTACATTTTCCCTGTTCCAGTGAATGGTGTGGTTTCTGTCTGTAACTAATACACATGTGGAAAAGAGGTTAGACTTTTTCTAATTGATTATTTATTATACAGCTGGAACCTGTAAGTAGAAAGTACAGAATCAAAATAAAGGCTTTTGAAAGGTCAGCACTACAAAGGTTAGAATAGACTGCATCAAATTGTAATGACTTTGCTGCCAATGGCACAACCCCCCAGCAGGAATCCTCTAGAGGTATTCAAGAGTTAAGCAAGGAGTTGGACTGGATGAAACTGAAGGTCATGGCTAACCTTGAGAGTCCACGATTTTACAGAACATTCTGAATCTTATTCTTACCTCCACTAATAATTAACTCTCCTAATTCCCATTAGTTTTCCCAAGGGCATGATTATAGTTTGGCATTATAAAAGCCATGGACTCAATGTAAGAAAAGTGCAGACTATTATTGTCAAATTAGGGTTTTCTTGGAGATTTCCCAAATTGTCTTGTGACATTCCATATCAATGTTATTGCCCAGGTAAATATGATATTCCATTTCACAAGCACCTAGATTTAAAATTTCTAAACATACTCTAACAGCTAATAACTCAATATTGCAGAACCTCCATAGCCATTGAATTAGGTTGTTTTTCAACTGCAAAACAGTCTTCCATGTCATTCATCCATTAGTGTTCCAGTCCATATATTTCCTATGTGTAGCATAGGTTGAAAAATCCAAGCAGAATCTGAGTGACTTATCCAAAGTTGCACTGGGGAAAGAAAAGCCTTCTTAATACCTGATATATCTTGATCTATTCCTCCTATAAATGAAAAGCTAATGATGTAAGTTTTTTTGTGCACATTAATTTCAACATATGGGCACAGAACATTCTACCACATGGCTGAAATTCTACCTCATGGCTATGTGAAAATCTACCACTGCTGCTTAACTTCTCGCTGCTGCTTCTTGATTTTCTAATGATTTGACCTTTAAGTTTGATGTGATATTATTCAGAGAAAGATTCATAGCAATTGTATATCACCATGAATTATATCCTCTAGCAATTGAAAATGGTCCTTTGGTCCCATTAATTTTTTCTTGAATTTTACTTACATGTACTTTATTCCTGCTTTCTTTGTATTCAATTTTTATACATCTGTTTGTTCTTTTTATTTTTTGAGTTAGTTTCAGTTATTTAATTTTATGCTAGGCATTTCAGATATGCCACTTTTGTTTTCCTTGGGCCTCTGATAAACATATATAAATGGATTTTGTTTTTCAATCAATTTAAGAATTTTTTAAATAGGTGTTGAACATATTTAAGTTCAATTTATGTTGGCATTATGTTCTTTTTGTTTGTTTGTTTCTTTTTTGAGACTGAATCTTGTTCTGTTACCTAGGCTGGAGTACAGTAGCGCGATCTTGGCTCACTACAGCCTCTGCCTCCCGAGTTCAAGCAATTATTGTGCCTCAGCCTCCTGAGTAGCTGGGATTACAGGTGCCCGCCATCACGCCTGGCTAATTAATGTAGTTTTAGTAGAGACGGGATTTCACCATGTTGGCCCGGCTGGTCTCAAACTCCTGACCTCAAGTGATCTACCCGCTGTGGCCTTCCAAAGTGCTCGGATTATAGGTATAAACCACCATGCCCAGATATTCTGGCATGGTGTTCTTTTTAAGACTCTCCTTACCACTCCCTTGTTTCCTGCCTTTCTCACATGACCTAAGTCTCATTTCTTTTATCTCTGCAGCCCTATACAGGATGTGTTAAATGAATCTAGCAAATAAGATAGTGGGGATGTATCCTTTAAGTCATCAGAACAGAGGTAATGGTTGAAGTTATGGAATATTTGATTTTTTTTTTTTAGACAGGGTCTGGCTCTATCACCCAGGCTGGAGTGCAGTGGTGTGATTTCGGGTCACTGCAGTCTTGACCTCCTGAACTCAAGCAGTTCTCCCACCTCAGCCTCCCAAGTAGCTGGGACCACAGGTGCATGCCACCACACCCAGCTTATTTTTTGTATTTTTGGTAGAGATGGGGTCTCACTATGTTGCCCAGGCTAGTCTCAAACTCCTGAGCTAAAGCTATCCATCCACCTTGGCCTCCCGAAGTGCTGGGATTACAGGTGTAACCCTCTGAGCCCAGCACAGATTTGATTTTCTGAGAAAGCACAAACGAATTAAAAAACAGAAGACATTGGCCAATCCTTGGGGAATGCATACATTAGACAGGAATGCAACTATACCAGTAGTGTATGGAGAGCCATGATCACACAAAACCAGGCATACAAAGAGAAGAGAGGGTTTTGAGAAAGTCTGGTTAGCTGTCTCCATGGCTTCAGGGAGCCCAAGTAAGATATTAACTGTTTGGCAAGCAAGACATCACTAGAGAGCCTGAATGAGTCATTTTAGCTAAGTGGTAGAGGCAAAGGCCAACGTAGGTGAGCACTGGAAAAGTTATTTTACATAAAGTAGACCATTCTTGCAAGACATTGAACAGAGAATGAGAAGAGAGAAAAAGGCTTACAACATCAAGGACAACAGGTACTGGGACATGGAAAAGACCAAGATATGTGTACAAATATAGCAAAAGAAGAATGATAAGACCAAACAGAGAAGATATCTTTGGTAGAGCATAGTCTCCAAAGAGAAATATTAATAGCTTTGGGATGTCACTGAAGAATGAACAACAATCCCCACTCATTCCTAACTTGAGGGTAAGCATTACACATGGAATACATAATACGCCAGACTCCATTAAGCTTTCCCTGCTGATGTCAAGCGCTCATAGCAGGGGCTGCCAGAGCAATCTCAGGGAAAGTCAATTATCAGCACAGCAGGGAATGAGGGTCATCTGCAAGTCAATGGCTGCCTATTTAAAGCCATTAATTCAATGAATATGGACTATAAGAGTCTAAGGATGAATTCAGCATTTGGGGGGTGATATTCTTCATGTTTCTATTCCAATTGTGTTTTGTAACCACCCTATGAGATTTATAACTTAACTAACTTTTAAAGAGTAGGCTCAGAAGTTAGGTGACCTGCCCAAGGAAACAGAGTTGTTACGTGATGGAAGCAACGCTCGATCCAGCCCAGATCTTTTAGCTCTGAATTCAATGTTCTTCCCACGACATGACACTCTCCTTTTAAACACTCATCTCTTCAACAGCCAAGCCATGTAAAGGAGATGGAACAAGAGCATCAATATAGCAGAACATTAAAATGGCATAACTGAAGGTGTTCTTCACCCTTTTGCACTCTGTCCTCAACTTTGAGTGATTCACCCCAAATTCACTGCCTTTGTTCCTGGAGACAGGGTTCTTGCCTGAATCCTGCCTCCTTTTTTACAACTAGAGAACTTTGTGGAGCAACCTATAAGAAATCCCAATATTGGCCAGGCGTAGTGGCTCACGCCTGTAATTCCAGCACTTTGGGAGGCCGAGGCAGGTGGATCACCTGAGGTCTGTTCAAGACCAGCCTGGCCAACATGGTGAAACCCCATCTTTACTAAAATAAAAAAATCAGCTGGGTGTGGTGGCACATGCCTGTAATCCCAGCCACTTCGGAGGCTGAGGCATGAGGGTCACTTGAACCTAGGAAGTGGAGGTTGCAGTGAGCCGAGATTATGCTACTGCACTCCAGCCTGGGTGACAGAGTGAGAATCTGTCTCAAAAAAAACAAAACAAAACAAAAACAAAACAAAACAAAACAAAACAAAAACAAGAAGAAATCCCAATGTCCCAATGTCCAATTGCTCCTTACCTGGAGGTTAGAAGCAATTTTCAGATCCTGCTCCTGATCACTTTCCTCTTCTCTACACTTCCATTGTCACAGGAGGTTTATAAGCAGAAGCCACCCAAGGTCCAAGGGAGGGAGGAGGAGGATGTGGAGAATAAAATGTCATAATAACCTCAAATGCTATGACCCACAACTCCAGCAAAGCCACGTGGGATGTCTGAAATTAGCCAGATAGCTTTTAAAAAATTCCTAAGAATTGGCCAGGTGCAGTGACTCACGCCTGTAATCTCAGCACTTTGGGAGGCTGAGGAGGGCAGATCACCTGAGGTTAAGAGTTGGAGACCAGCCTGGTCAACATGTTGAAGCCTCATCTCTACTAAAAATACAAAAAAAAAAAAAAAAAATTAACTGGGTGCGGTGGTATGTGCCTGTAGTCCCAGCTACTAGGGGAGCCTGAGGCAGGAGAATCACTTGAACCTGGGAGGTAGAGGTTGTAGTGAGTCAAGATCACACCACTGCACTCCAGCCTGGGCTACAGAGCAAGACTCTGTCTCAAAAAAAAATAATAAATAAATAAATAAATAAATATAATAAAAATATTAAAATTTCCTAAGAATTGCATAATTCTAAAAAAAAGTTTAAAAATCTTATAAAGTACAAAGTCCATATAGCTTGACTAAAAATGTATTTAAATATCTTTAAAATACAAAGGAAATAGAAAATTCAAACAAGTAATCATCCTGGGTAGGAGTTGTTGACATCTGACATTTGAATTTAAAAAAATAATGAAAATATCTTGACTCCTGGTATAAAGGGCTACATAAGCTTTGAGACCAACTTTGTTACAAGTTTGAGGCTCATGATCCAGTAACTCTAAAAAGGAGCTCTTTTGGCTCAATTAGTATATAAGAAGGTCTCTTACACAATTAAAATCTTTGGCCCTAAGATATCTCAGTTAACTTTAATGTTTTAATGTATTGAGTTTCCTTAATCTTATATATTATCAACTCCCAAATATTTTAGAATTATGTAACCTCAGTAAAATAAGATTTTAACTGTCTTTTTTAGTGAATAAAAATATTTTAACTCCAGAAAGTGTTAGAATTAAATGTAAAATGTTTAAAAATTAAAACCAAATGTGTACATAATGGATAACTTAGTATATTTGTAATATTTAAAAGAATGTGGTCTATTAGTGTGACCACCCTGTTTCTATCTTCACAGGGTTAATTTCCTGTCATTAACCCAGGAAATGAATGTCTGGGTTAAGATAAGGGATTGTGGAGACCAAGGTTCTTATTATACGAAGCCTCCAGGTAGCAGGCTTCAGAGGGAATAGATGGTAAATGTTTCTTTTCAGACTTAAAAAGGTGCCAGACTTTTTGTTGATTCTGTCTTGGATCAGGAGGCCTGGGAAAGGGAAAGGGGATTCTCTACAGAATGCAGATTTTTCCCTGCAAGAGATCACTTTGCAGGGCAATTCCAAGATACGGCAAGGAAACATATTTGGGGTTAAAATATTTTGATTTCCTTTCTCATCTATCATGTGATGTATGGCAGAGTCAGATTGGGAAGCAGGCCACATTATACAGGGTTAGATAAAGCCTCTCTGATGAGGCTTTATGGTTTGCAGGGTGTGACTCCCCAGGCCCCTTAGATAGGAATTTGGGCAAGAGAAGAAAAAAGGTCAGAGCTTAGTCCTCACAATTATTTTGTTATTTTAAGGATATTAAATCAGCCTGGGCATGGTGGCTCACGCCTATAATCCCAGCATTTGGGGAGGCTGAGGCAGGAAGATTGCTTGAGCCCAGGAGTTCAAGACTAGCAGTTCAAGACCAGCCTGGGTAACGTAATGAAACCCTGTCTCTACAAAAATACAAAAATTAGCCGGGGGTGGTGTGCACCTTTAATCCCAGCTACTCGGAAGGCTAAGGCAGGAGAATCGCTTGAGCCTGAAGGCAGAGGTTGTGTTGAGCCGAGATCGTGCCACTGCACTCCAGCCTGGGCAACAAAGCAAGACCCTGTCTCAAAAAAAAAAAAAATTAAAATTAAAAAAATAAAAAAGAGAAAAAAATGTTATATAAATGAAATCTTAAGTATGTAACTTTTTGGGACGGGCTTTTTCATTTAGCATAATTCATCCCGGTTGTTGTGGGTGTAAATCGTTTTTTCTTTGTGTTTTCTAAAATCATTATTGCTGAGTGGTATCTTTCATGGCACGGACAGACCACAGTTTGTCAAATCATTTGTCTCTTAAAGGACAACTGAGTGGTTTTCAGTTTGTGACTATTCTGAGTCAAGTTGCCGTGAGCGTTTGTGTACAGTTTCTTGTGTGAACATAGATTTCATTTCTCTTGGATAAACGCCCACGTGTGCAGTCACCGGGTTGCATGGTAATTGCGTGTTCAGCCTTATTAAGAAACTGCCAAACTGTTTCCTCGAGTGGCTGTATCGCTTTACATTCCCACCAGCAATGTGTGAATGGTGCAGTTTCTCTACATCCCCACTAGCATTTGATGCTGCCACTATTCTTTTGACAGATAATTCTAATATGTTTGCCATCTTGATTTTGGTATCTATTGATTGTCTATTTTTTTTTTTTTTTTTTTTGAGATGGAGTCTCGCTCTGTCACCCAGGGTGGAGTGCAGTGGCGCGATCTCGGCTCATTGCAACCTCTGCCTCCCAGGTTCAAGCAATTCTCCTGCCTCAGCCTCCCGCATAGCCAGGATTACAGGTGCCCGCCACTATGCCTGGCTAATTTTTGTATTTTTAGTAGAGATGGGGTTTCACCATATTGACCAGGCTGGTCTTGAACTCCTGACCTCAGGTGATCCACCTGCCTTGGCCTCCCAAAGTGCTGGGATTACAGGCACGAAGCACCGCACCCAGTGATTGTCTAATTTGTATTCCGTTTTATATCTTCCTGGTTCTTGATAGGATGAGTGACTTTTTTATTGAAATCTGGAATTTGGGGAAGTATATTTTGAGACACTGGAACTTTTTAAGCCTTCTGTTTAGCTGGCTTCCTCTGACATTGCACTAGTCAGGGAAGCAGTGATGCCCCTCTGCCATTGATGCCTCCTTGTTACTGCTGGGCAGGGGTGGGAGTTCCAGCATCCCACAGACCTCCCCTGACCCACCCCCCCGGACTGGGACAGATAGTAACACCTCGTTATTGCTCTTCATGTAGTCTTCACTGACACCAAGGGGAGCATAGCCTCATTACGGCTGGTGTTGAAAATCTTCACTTTCCAATAGACCCACCCTGACATAGACCCTGCCCAGCTCAGTGGGCAGTGGGGGATGGGGGCGCCTCATTACTGTTGGATGGGGGAGAAAGTCCAGGCTTTTGACTCGACTTTGTCCAGGACCACTCTGGCAGGTATTGGAGCACCCAGTTACAGGCAGCAGAAGTCTAGGCTCCCCATGCAGCCTTTACTGGTAGGGTAGGTGGTGGGGTTTCAGTTTTCTCCTGCAGTATTTGGCAGGGGTGGTCAGTTATTGTCTAAGTTTGCTGTCTTCATAGGCTGCCCTTTCCTAGCCTTTTGGCAGAGAGACCAGGCTTTTGTTGAGACCCTTTTTTTTTTTCCGTCTGTACCTTTCTTTGTTACAGGCTCCTTCAGCTCCAAATCTGATACATACGAGGACAAAAGAGAACCTAGAAAACTGACCACCCTGTCATTCCTGGGTCCCCCCCGATCTGTATCCTTCTCTCTACCTTTCAGAGTCTCCTTATGTTTGTTTTATAGGCAATGTCCAGGCTTTGAGTCATACTCAGCAGAGGGAATAAGAAAAAGCGTAGCCGTTCCATCCTCCCAGGAGGGGACATTTGCCAAGAATGGAGTTTTGCTTTTTGTTTTGTTTTTGAGACGAAGCTTTGCCTGGAGTGCAATGGTGTGATCTCGGCTCACTGCAACCTCCGCCTCCCAGGTTCAAGCAATTCTCCTGCCTCAGCTTTCCAGGTAGCTGGGACTATAGGCATGCACTACCACGCTAGGCTAATTTTTGTATTTTTAGTAGAGATGGGGTTTCACCATGTTGGCCAGGATGGATGTTGTGATCCGCCCATCTCACCCTCCCAGAGTGCTGGGATTACAGGCATGAGCCACCGCATCCAGCCAAGAATGGAGTTTAAAAATTTCAGTTTAACCCTAAAAGCACCCATGAGGCCTCCAGTTTCATGGGAGAGTTTCTTCCTGGTGTAAAGGAGATGCTGGGAAGGACAGGCTTAGGTTGTGCTTCTCAAGATTCTTGTCCTTTACTATTCAGTGTTCAGTTCCTTTATTTCTCAGCAGCCTCTAAAACAACGTGAAAAATGCCAGTGAGAATGAATTACTTGGATGTCTTGAAATTAGCATTTCTGATCCAACCTCAGAGTCTCTTAATGAATTTTAAGCTGCTGTCTTTACGGCAGATTTAACCACAATTTGTCACTGCAGTGTCTGTCAAGCCAGGGAAACTAGCAGTGATACCCTTGTCCTAAAAAAGGAAAAAGACATGGTGCTAGAATGAACATCAGCAGCCCTCCAATCAAGGTCCACACAGCCACCAAGTAGCCAAGTGACCTGGACCCTCAGTGTGCCCCGATTCCCTCAAGTTTGATTGTTTGTTTGTTTGTTTGTTTGTTTGAGATGGAGTCTCACTCTGTCACCCAGGTTGGAGTGCAGTGGCGCAATCTTAGCTTACTGCAAACTCTGCCTCCTGGGTTCAAGTGATTCTCCCACCTTAACCTCCTGAGTAACTGGGATTACAGGCACCCACCACCATGCCTGGCTAATTTTTGTATTTTCAGTAGATACGGGGTTTCACCGTGCTGGCCAGGCTGTTCTGGAACTCCTGACTTTGGGTTATCTACCCGCCTTGGCCTCCCAAAGTGCAGAGATTACAGGCATGAGCCACTGTGCCTAGCCAATTCCTCATATACCCCTACATCCCCCTCCAGACCTTGGATGCTATAGCATAGGATAAAGAACACCCAATGTGATATAACAACCATAAAAGTGTCAGAGGGTCTGAAGTTGACTTGAGCTGGGTTACACTTATGTACCAGTTTCTATGTAGTCAATTTCCAACAGGGTCAGTGGGTTGGGAGCAAGGGATTCTGCAAAACCTGTGCTCATGAGAACCCTATAAGCCATATCTCTGTGTAGTTATTAACCTTCACATTTGGAGAGGTCTCTTTCTGGACATGGTGGTCAGCACTCCTCCCCATTCTCTTGATAAAAAAAGCCCTCTTGTGGGAGCCCACGCCTTA